ATCTCGCCGTGTACTCTTTCCTTGAAACATCCTAACAAAAACATGGTATGTTTTCTGCTCTCTCTGCATGCGGACAGCTTTGTTTTTCCTCAGTGTCCCCTGACCTAATTACCATGTGAATCCTGCTCAAGAAGGCCACTTTAAAAGTCTGAAATCTCTCTGCTTCACTTTCACATGCCAGGCTCAGGCTTAGGAAAAAGAAGCAAAATCAAGATCAATGGTCGGCAGAGCACGTCTCAGCTAGCCACTCACTGCCTCGCAGCAGTTCTTAAAGCATCCTTCCCCGGGTTTTTAAAGTGTGGAAATGAATCTATGTTGCCGCCTCTCTCAAGTAAGGATTCAAAAAAAGAGCAAGCGGTGTTATAGAGCATAAATAAACTGAGGTCTGGTTCATGAGAGCATCAACAGATGTCCTGGACTGCTTATTGGACGTGCGTGAAAAGCCAAACAGCTGAATGTCCGACTAACAGCAGAAATATAATGCTGTAAGAGTTGACGCTTGGTTTTGCTGGGTGAAAGGCCGCACCTTGAAATGACCAAACAGTCCGTCAGCCCCAGGAAGAAAGATTAGCTTTCCTTTAAACTTATTTTCTAGTTTTATGTACCTGAATATATGTTAAGAGTAACTGTATGAAGAGTGTGAGCTCAGAGCAGACTGAATTAAACCTGTTATCTGTATCGGTTCTCTCTTTAGACAGACACACACACTCATGGCGGTCAGACCATCGTCTTTTTTTTTTCTTCTTAGAGAGATAATATTGGGCAGAAGAGAAAACAGATCAAGTTCTTCAGACATTAAACTTTTACATCCGTTGTTCCCCTCTCAAATGATGCCTGACAACAGGAGTAATCCACATGGCACAGCTTAAATATGCATCATTAAAAATTTGATGAAGAGGCTGTCGGCTCATCTACTCCACACCTATCATATTTGTTAATGAAAATGAATTATTCATGTCGACATCAGATGCCACGAAGATACGGACCCTTACATATAATCAAAAACAAAACACTTTCACACACCTAACTACAAAGGCATCAAGGAGAGAGTGAGGAACAGAAAGAAGGAGAAAGTGAAGATGGAGGTGGTCTAAGAGGAGTTGAGAGGGAGGGAGTGGGGGGGGGGGCACTTCCATCCAGTTTTGTATTTTGTTTTGGATCTCTTTTGCTCTGCTGGTCTGGTTCCCCTCACCAGGACCTGTCAAGAGCCCTCATAAGTTCATCAAAGATGAAAACCTGTTTTCCATTTGAAAGGACTGACCCAGGATACTAAAACAGCTCTTCAAATAACAAAAGCGTTAATCATCCATAAGACAAGCATGTGGGCCTGACAAAACCTGTAAGAATATATGAATATCAATCAAAAGATAGGGGGAGATATGGGACTTTCACATGTGTTGATTAATGAACAAAAGTTAAAAAAAGAGCTGCTATTTTGAATTTCAGATGTTGAGAATGAAGTTGTTTGGTTATGAAATAGGATTCCATGCTTCCATGTGTTATGTGCATGTTACTGAGAGGGAGATTAGAGGAATAATACTGAGGAGTATATATTTAACTAAACACATTTTCCTGTCCATGGCCGGTTTTAAAGAGAAGCAAAGTGGTTTTTAGAAAAGCTGAATTGCAACATTATGATGTCATCTGACACATTTCCGACAACTCAAACGAGCCATGCTCAGTTATATTTGAGAGCCATTTGTATGTTAATGAACAATACAGTGTCCTTCATTGATGCTGTTGAAGACACTGGACTACTAGGGCTCAACAAAATGTTACAGATGAAAAACAGCACAGCTCTTAAAAAAGGTCTAAAGGCCCAAGTGGTGATGGTTTAGTGGCGGTGGCGAAACTGCTTTCAAGTGAATAAGTTGTTTGATGAATTTCAAATGAATGTGTTATTTTAAGCCGCAAATAATTCCAGCTATGGACAAAATATCTCTGAAAGCTGTTCCCAGATAAAAGCTTGTGCAAAAATGCCTGACATTTAATCACCTTAAACAAAAAAAAAAAAAAATCAAGCAATAATCCATTACAAAGCAGTGTTCCTCTATGTTTTCATCTGTCCGAGCTTGGATGAGTGCTGCACCTTTGCTCCAGCGCACAAACAGCCTGGTCTGCAGCAATGTGTCTATTCACTTGTGGAGAGCAGAGCAGACAGTCCAGCACATGCAGCAAAGCCTCTCACAGCTGTAAAGTGCTGCTCAACACTGCCCTCTGTCGCTCAGCAACAACACAGCCCACCTCTTACTTAAACAATGCATTTCGGGAATAATCAACTTAAATGCACGCAAGAGGGAAATGTCCTATTTTACAATACTGTGTTTCTTTCCTCGACATTCCCAACATGGGGAGCCTTCTGCTGGACACTTATCCCTCTCTAGAATCTAACATGAAACAGATCTGGAGTGCCTGTATGTATCTGGGAGAAATGGAGAAGCAATTCATCCTAGTGACAAGCTCATGAAAAATGACTTTCAGGGCTAATGTTGAGTGTTTCCACGCAGAATTAGTCTCACAAACGTTTGCTGAGATTTGGAAAAAAATAAGAGAATGTAAAACAGTCGGAATGGTGTGCGCAAACGCTGCACATTCCGCGCGTAAAACCAACCTGTTAATTGTAATTGATAAAGCAAAGAGGTCATTGTGTGCAGTCTTAAGTCGGTCAACAAAGTTCCCCGGCAAAGTGGGAGAAGGGACAACAAGGTGGTCAATTGTACATCACATGTCTGTGGCCACAATTTGATTACCACGTTTAAAATGAGTCAATACGAGAAAAACAAGGCAAATTAAACGCACAATTGAAACACTTTCTAGAGGGATCATATCATAGAACTTTTCTCTTAAGATTATTTTTAAAGTTCACACCTCGTCGTTATCGACAGTACAGGGCGGCTTACAGCACAAAATAAGTTTGACACAGTGCTAATGTGGCTGGCACAGGCAGCTCCGGCAGCCCACAAATGCTTCTCTGATCCTGGGATGAAACGTGAGTGGAAAGTAAAACTGGCGAGGCATAAAGGAACTGTTAACTGCTCTGAATAACACATGCTACGGACAAATCACCTCACCTGAAACAGTGAAAGTGGGCAACAGGACAGAAAAGTGTTTGACGTTTAGAATTTAAAAAAAAAAACGCCAAAAACGCCAAAAACGCCGCTCTGATAGAAAACTGGTCCAGAGAAAAACGGACCTCACAGCATGGCTGAATAAAGCTTTCGAGTAGCCAATCCATTAGTGATGGAGGGTGTTTTTTTTATTTTATCTGAGCAGGTTACTCAAGCTAAAGCAGGGTATTGTGTTGATTTGTCTCCAGTATAAAAATCCATGATCTCAACCAAACTCAAACTACATCCATTTCGCCTGTAAAGGCAAATCTGAAGCGACACACAGGCTGGAAACTGGAGCACAACACACCTAAAAAGTGCTTTTGTGTCAGTCAGTTCAGGTATTTTGCCAAAGAAAACAAAGAAAAAGTGATTTTCCTTTTACCTTCGAAGATGTTTGTATTCCCCAAGTTGATGACAATGCCAGGCAGAGACGAGGAGAGAATCAGACTCGCACCACTGGGCAGTAGAGACAAAATAAAGACGGGGTCTAGTGTTGTGTCCTCAGCCGCTCAGCGCGTCCCTCTCCGAACGACCTGCAGCCGACAACTGCGCTCTCTCTCTCCTTGATCGTCGGACGATACCACCGGCTTCAGGGGGGGAGGGGGGCGGTGGGAGGAGAGGAGTGATGGGGGCCGATTTGCGCAATGTAGGGAGGAAGCGCATGGACACCCCCGGAGAGGTGGAGGAGTGTCGCAACAGCGCGGTCGTCCAGTGCGAAAGCAGGCTGTGTCTGAGAGTGAATCACAGCATGGACCTGAGGGAGACAGGAGGGCTTCTGGGAAAGGTTTGCCCTACGTGTTGTTGTGTTGTCTGGGACTCCACTGTACCTGCTGTGTGCCTGTGTGCGGACGTAACCTGGCAATGTAACTCCAATGGGGATACAAGTGTTTTATGTAGCCTATTTATTTATTTATTTATCTATTTGCTGCTTTGCTGTTTTGTCCAAAGGAAACAATAAAACTCAAACAGTTAGGCCTAACACATACACCTGGACCAAAGTCTATTCTACTCTATTCTATTGTATTCTAAAATAACACGAGCCAAACTCCATTAAGACATTTTTTGCCGTTTTATTTCTTTATAGCCAACAGCGTTTTCATATAGCTCCGTCTATTCTATTCTATTCTATTCTATTCTATTCTATTCTATTCTGTTCTCAGTTATTAGCATGATGGAGGCTAGAAAGGTGGGTATGACTTATATTAGGATATTATGATGAGGAAATAATCAGTTCAAACCAAACTCCATTCAGAAAACCACTTATATAAGCTGTTTTCTTTGTATTTCTCTCTTCTAGCCAGCTACAAATAAACCTAATAGGTAAACTGAACCAATAAATAAGATTAATTCAAATGAATGCTGCAGGTATTCTAATCTGTTATATTCTTCCCATCCTTTCCAAATACCATCCTTTCATGAAGGAATTTATTAGGCTATTTCTGTAGGCCTACATGGTGGTTATAAAACCTTTTTTCATTCGTGCATTTCTATACATTTACTTTGTATTGGCCTATTGAGCACTGATCAGATGCTGTTGATAACATTTCACAGCTATTGTCAAACCAAACACTCTAAAGGAAAGTAGGTTAGTCGAATTGATAAAGAGCTAATTAACAACCATTCAATCACAAGCCAATTTGCTAATTACCCTCTTATGTAATTAATTGTCTTGCATTATGGCTGCATTACGCTGATAAAAACAAAATCATGTCGCTCACGTCTGATAACATGCAGGGGAGGGGTCTCTGGCTGGTTAGAGGAGGGGTGGAGGCGGCAGGTGCAATATCTCCCCAAGACTTTTCTTCAGAACCACATTTCCCAAGGAGCCTTGCGCCGTGCCCAAGATTCCGTGGAAAACCGATTGCGCCTGCGTATCCAGACGTGGCAACGGCATCATGGCTTCTTGGAATCGCTACGGGAGTCGGATGAGAGAGGCGAAAATGTTCATGTTGGTGATGCTGGTGAGTAAATCGAGCCTCTTCTGTGTGTCGTGTAAACTGTAACGGTTTTCGGTGACGTGCCCTCGCGCAGCGGAGGTTGTTTGTGTCCGTTAAGGAATTCAGGAGAAAAGAAAAAAAAAATCCAAACCGCTCTCCGCCGCGTCTCCTAGCCTGTCCGCACAGGAGGTAAAGTTGACAGCCCTTGACTGAACTTGGTGTTCAGATTTAACTAGCTAGTAGTAATGTGGGTGGACTGCGGTTTCCGTGGCGCAGGTAAAATTGCGTGATTTATTTATGTAACCGCTTTTCACACAGCGGGTTTCTGGTCAACGGTCGCCTGTGTACAGGGGCTCCCTCCCCTGTGGTGTCTGAGCCATAACTAACGTCCAGTGCAAACGGTAAACACAGGAGAACCAGACCTGGTGAGCCAACTTTCCTTTTCATTTGGATGAACCCACTCTTCCACGTTGTGAAGGCTCTGCTGCTCTTAGTTTCATTAACGGGTCATTGTAGCGTTTACTGTCATTAACAAAGCAGGACTCAGTCACAGACCCGCGTTCGTAAACGGAATTGAAAGTTCAAAACTTTGTGACTTGAACAAAAGTAATGGGTGGGAACTGACTAGCCTACTATATTTGTGTGTAAAACAGAAGTGCCCTTTGGAAGAAGTACATTACGCTTCCATGTCATGTGACTGTCAGAACGGAATTAGTTGTCTCTGAAACAATATGTTGTAGAGCAGGGCTGCAGATAACGTATTTTGTATTACTTATTAATGGAATTTAATGTTTATGATTAAAATGGTGAAAGATTTTTCATAAACACAAGCTATTTCCGGAGCTTTCAACCTTATCTGTCAGCCTTCTTCCAAGTCCATGTTCCAAGTTTATTTAGGCCTGTGGATCAGTGTCCTGGTTTTGAGCCTCCTCCTGTTTTTTGGTTACATTCGGGTCATGGGGATTTCATTGTACATGAAAAACCTGGTTATTCATATCCCTATTTACATGATCATAAGAGTATCCAGTTTTCTAATGGTTCTGAAATCTGGATAAGGTGTTTACAAACCATAGTATCTTGGTTTCTATCTCCAGTTTGTATATCCAGCTTTCTGAAACTGGGATAAGCTGTTTACATGAGCAACACACAACCAGGATAGTCCAATAACCTGATCATAACCATGATACTAGTCTGCATGTGAAAGTAAGTTTTAAGTTATAAAAATACACATACAAAATACACACACCTCTGATAAACTACTAATTGAAATATAGACTAAACAAAAATGTCTTGACTTTATTGTATGTGTCTCCAAGGCTGCAGGATTATATCAGTGGTTTTGCATATTGTCCATTTGCTACAAATCACTTTTAACTGTATATCATGACTAACCATTTTGCAGATCATGATGCCATAAATCAGAAATTTGGATGTGTCTTTGCCACTGGGTTAAGCATCTATTAGTTCCCATTCCTATTAGTATGGTATGAAAATCAATAGAGTACAGTAGACTCTCGTGATTGTCTCGACATAATCTATCACAGTGAGAATCTATACTGTGTTCATTTTCATCACTTACATTATTGTGGTCAGGTAACACAGTACAGGCGTCTAATAACCTGCTGCATTATCACAAAACAATAAAGTAACATTAGTAAAATACTGCAACAGATCTAAAGGGAAATGGTCTGCAAATATGTACAGTGTGCAGTGAAGTGAAGGAGCTAGAACCTGCCAACATTCATTCATTACACCATCAGCAACTGTGTTAAATACTGATACAGACCTTTTCCTGCTCTGCTTCCTGTTGCACGTTGTCTTTGCAAATAAGGGCGGTGCTTGAGTGTATTTACAGTGCACATTGTATGCACTTGGACGGGGACACTATTTGATATTGTGGCACCGTGCCACCGCGCATTGCATTTGAAATGAAATCCTGACAATGGGGTTAAAGTGCTGACTCTCTGCTCTAATTTGACAGTACTTACATCCACAACAGATGTACGGTGTAGGATATGTAGACCCTTTACTTGATTGTTAATCCTCTGCACTCAGTGACTCTCCGAAGTGTCCGACCCTCTTCTTGGTTGCCTTGTCTAGATATTAAGGATCATTGCTCTGCTGCATTGTCATAGAATTGGAAGAAACACACTTGAATTAAAGTTTGCAGTTGACATTTGTCCTCATAAAGCAATAGAACTGTCATAATACATGAGAACTGCGCTGTATGTGTGTCATCAAAATGTTCTCATATCTACATATAGTGGCTGACAGTTCTCACAGTCTTTAAATGACTGAAATTTAATCTCACTAAAATCTGTCACACTGTAAAACGTCTTTTAGCACTTGAAAATTCTGTACTTTGGTCCACTAAAACACAACTATGTAAATGAATATGATGAACATGAATTGAAGTCTATAGCATGAGAGTCTGAATACTCAAGTGAACATTGTGAACATGTGTGAAAACAGTCAGTTGTTCAGACTAGACTGACACATTGCAAAACAGTGCTAGGTTTAATTTCTTGATGTGAGGATGTGCTGCTTTCCCCTGTTTTATTTAATTGAGAGTAAAAACCCTTTGGGACTTTTACTCAGACAAAACAAGTAATTTGAAAAGGGCACATTGGGCTCCAGGATGTTGTGGTTGGACCTTTCAACTATTTTCAAACATTTTATAGAGCAAATGTTTAATAGCTTAATTGAAAAAACAACCAACAGATTAATCGATGAAGGAAAATAATTATTAGCTGCTGCTGTAAACATGACGTACCAATTTTGCTACAATGCTGAGACTACTTTTGTCCTTATCATCCACCACCAGTGACCTGCTCTGTGTGTGTGTGGTGTTGTGTGTGTGTGTGTGTGTGTGTGTGTGTGTGTGTGTGTGTGTGTGTGTGTGTGTGTGCGTGCTGGTAGGTGGCACTGTGAGGTGTATGGAGGTGATTCCACAAGGGAGGAGATAAACCACTGCAGCACTTTGTTGCGGGGTAGCTGTCTGGGTGGTAGAGGCCTGCCTGTCAAAACAATTTAATCCAAACTCCCTCCACACACACACACACACACAAAATGAACTATTTGGTTTGCTTGCGTGTGATTGGTAAACTCACAATGTTGTCTCCAAGTCAATTATGTGTGTTTTTTTTCAGGCCAGAATAATCAATATGTGTGACCCTACCTGTTTTTAGTGACATTTTATTTACTGATTCTTAGAATAAGCAGTGTTACACGCCACAGGGCAAGTGGCCCTTATTGATGTATCCCTGAAAGACAGATTTTACTGGCATTTGGTCCTTGGCAGGTATTTCAGACACTGCACATAATCAGACTTTAACAAATGTCCACCACTGTCTGTTTCTTTAATAGATATAAATAATCTTTAATTCCCGATTGCTGATAAACTGAAAGAGACAGATTTTTGTTGAATTTAACTTGTTTTTTACTTACTTACTCAAAGACCAGCAAACTGATGAATGCCTTAATTTGTAGGTTAGTACTAAGCTTAGCGCCTTATTTTCATTATTGATTAATGTGTTGATTATTTCTTTTAATAATCACGCTTCAAATTTATACGTCTTTGTAATTTTGCCCAACCAACAGTCCAAAACCTAAAGAATATCAATTCAAAGTTGTATAGATAAATCTATATAACTCTGATTCTATATAAATTATTGATATAAATCTTCACATCTGAGAAGCTGGAACCAGCGAATGTTTGGCATTTTAAATAACTCAAATAAATTATTATTCATATCAATTCAGTCTTTTTTGTGCTCTGCTAGTGGTGAGAGTAGCCCATCTTAGCTTTATTAAATGTCAACACAATTAGTAGCAACACATCTCAAAGGATATACTAACAAAATTACATGTTAGAAATGTCAGTATTAACAAAGAAATTAGATAAAGTCAAAGAACAGATTAATTTGCTTACAGAACCTCCATTCACAACAACAGTGCCCATAAGCCAAAACTTATGAACAAGTACAGAGGCAAGTGAACCCTTGGACTCCATGTGATCATGTGGTGCAGTAATCTGATCACTGAGAGGAGGACCAAGCTGCAGGCAATAGTGAACATGGCCTCCAAACTCTTAGTAAAGCCACAAAAGCAGCTAAATAGTATGTATGATGAACTCTTAAAAAGTAAATTTGACAGAATTGTTAATGATCCTTCTCATCCACTGTACAGTGAAGTTGAACTTTTACCCAAATGGAGACGTTATATAGATCACTGATGGCTAATATAAATATCTACAAGAAATCCTTTGTCTCAAGTGCTGTTAAGCTAATAAAAGAACGGATTCGGCAGACCAGGATACAGGGTGTTCCTGACTTTGCTGCACTTTTTTGCATTGTAGGTTAATGTGATATGGTGTAGAGAGTAGACTTGTGCATTGTGAGTTGTATTGTTATGAATGAGTATGCTGAGATGATTTATGTGTTGTCGTTTTGTGAAATGTAGTTTTCGGGAATGTGGATGCTGAAACAATATATGTACTCTGTATTGTATTATTAGGTTTTTTATGACGTCTTATGGTGAAACTGAGGGAAAATTTCCATTGTGGATAACAAGTTTTTTGTATTCCTATTTGTACCTCAAACACAAGCCTCCAGTAGCTGCCGGTCAAACCTGCACAATATTCAGGAGGAATTTTGGACCAATCTTCCTCAGAGAGCTGCTTCAGCTCAGACATGTACTCAGCATGTCTGGTGTGAACGGCTCTCTGAGCTCGTTCCACAGCATCTCTGCTGGGTTCAGGTCTGGGCTCTGACTGGGCCAGTCCAACAGGTGGATTTTCCTTGTTTGAAGTAATCCTGTAGTAGATTTACTTTGATGTTTAGGGTCATTGTCCTGCAGCATCACCACATCTACTGAGCTTCAGGGTCAGGGTGTGTCTTCACAGCAGGTGGACCTCATCCTGTAAGATACATTGATAAACCTTGAAAATCATTTTCCCCTCTGATGGGTGAGCTGTCCACACCCAGAGGCAGCGAAGCAGCCCCAAATCTTGATGATCCCTTCAC